GATTCACCAGCATCTGCAGTTCCTACTATCTCCAGTCTATCCAACATTTCTTTATAGCTAAAATCCACCATACCATACAATATCTTGGTAAACCTTTTCTGTACCGCTCCAAAGCATCCACATCCTTCTGGTAGTTTGGTGACCAGAACTGCACACAACATTCCAAGTGTGGCCTAATTAAAGTTCTGTAAAACTTCAGTATAACTTCTCTATCCTTATACTCAATGCCCATTCCAATGAAGGGAAGCATGCCATAAGCCTTTTTACTACCTTATCTACCTGCGCTGCCACCTTCAGAGATCTGTGAACCTGCACACCCAGGTCCCTCTGCATATCAGTACGCCTAAGGGTTCTGCCATTCACTTGTACCTTCCAAAATGCATTACCTCACATTTGTCTGGATTAAACTCCATCTGCCATTTTTCTGCCCATGCCTTCACCTGATCTATATCTTGCTGTATCCTCTGACAATCCCCCTCACTATCCGCAATACCACCAATCTTTGTTTCAACCTCCAAATCATTTATGTAGACCACAAACAGCAGAGGTCCCAGCACTGATCCCTGATGAACACCACTAGTCACAACCCTCCATTCCAAAATGCATCCTTCCACTGCTACCCTCTGTGTCCTATGACTAAGCCAGTTCTGTATCCATCTTGCCAGCACACCCGATACTACATGACTTCGCCTTTTGTACCAGTCTGCCATGAGGGACCCCGTCAAAGACTTTACTGAAGTCCATGTAGACAACATCAACCGCTTTTCCTTCTGTAATCAGATTCGTCATCTCCTCAAAAAACTCAATCAAGTTAGTGAGGCACAACATCCTCCGCACAAAACCATGCTGTCTATCACTAATAAGTCCATTTGCTCCTAAATGTTACAGATCTTGTCCCTGAGAATCTTTTCCAATAATTTCTCTACCACTGACGTGAGACTCACAAGTCTGTAATTTCCTGGATTATCACTGCTACCCTTCTTAAACAATGGGACAACATTGGCTATTCTCCAGTCCTCTGGGACCTCACCTGTGGCCAAAGAGGATACAAAGATGTCTGTCAATGCCCCAGTAATTTTTTCTCTTGCTTCCCTCAAGATTCTGGGATAGACCCCTTTAGGACTCGAGGACTTACCAACCTTAATACTTTTTAAGGCACACAACACCCCTTCCGTTTTAATAGCAGCTGGGCTGAGAAACTCGACACTCCATTCCCTGAGATCATCCTCCATCAGTTCCTTCTCTTTGGTGAATACCGACATAAAGTATTCATTTAGGACTTCACCTACCTCTTCTGGCTCCACACATAGGTTCCCTGTTTTGTCCTTGAGTGGCTAAACCCTTTTCCTGGCTACCCTCTTGCTTTTTATATATCTATAAAAAGCCTTGGATTCTCCTTAATCCTGTTTGTTAACAACTTTTCATAACACCTTTTAGCCCTTCTAATACCTTGTTTTTTTTCCTACTTTCCTGATATACTTCAAGGGCTTTGTCATTTCCCATCCCCTAGACCTTATGTATGCTTCCCTTTTCTGTTTGACCAAGGTCATAACATCCCTCATGATCCAAGGTTCATGTAATTTGCCATACCTATACTTCATTCGCATAAGAACATGCTGCTCCTAAACTCTTATTAACTGCTATTTGAAATACTCCCACATGTTTAGGTTAGATGGGCTTCAGATTGGTTTCACAGGTCAGCGCAACATCGAGGGCCGAAGGGCCTGTACTGCGCTGTAATGTTCTATCTATGTTCTATGTCCGATATGGATTTACCCTCAAACAACCACATCCAATCAAAATTCTCCAGATTCTGTCTAATATTGTTGTCATTCGCCTTCCCCCAGTTTAACACCTTCATCCGAGGACTGCTGTTGTCCCTATCTATGAGTATCTTAAAACTCATGATATTATGGTCACTATTCCCGAAATATTCCGCCACTGAAACTTCACTCACCCGGCCAGGCTCATTTCCCAAATCAGGTCCAGTATAACCACTTTCCCTGGTTGGATTGTTTACATATTGTGTCAAGAAACCTTCCTGAATGGTCCTTACAAATTTTGTCCCATCCAAGCTCCTAGCACGAAATGAATCCCAGTCAATATAGAGGAAGTTAAAATCACCCACCACAACAACCCTGCTGTTTTTGCATCTTTCAAAAATCTGTCTATGTATTCTCTATCACCCGCTGGCTGTTGGGAGGCCTGTAGTATACCCCCACCATTGTGATTTCACCTTTCCTATTCCTGAGTTCTACCCATATTGCCTCGCTATACGAGTCCTCTGATGTATCCTCCCTTAGTACAGCTGTGAGATACTCCTTTACCAGTAATGCAACTCCCCCCATCCCTTTTATCTCCCTTTCCATCACACCTGAAATATCCAAAACCTGGGACATTCAGCTGCCAGTCCTGTCCCTCTTTCAGCCAAGTCTCTGTATTCATAATAATGTCATAATTCCAAGTATTAACTAATGCTCTGAGTTCATCCACCTTGCCTATTATACTTCTTGCATTGAAACATATGCATGTCAGTGCACCTCCCCTGCTCTTTTCAGCAGTATTTTCCTGCCTGTTCTTGTTCTTGGTAATGTTTGCCTTGGCTTCTATCACTCTCTCAATTTCTGCATTTACTGTCCTACTCTTCTGGTTCCTATCCCCCTACCACACTAGTTTAAACCCTCCCCAACCACTCTCACAATTACCACCATCCCCCCACCCCTCCCACTCCCAAGGATACGGCGGCATGGTGACTCAGTGGTTGGGGTGGCATGGTGGCTCAGGGTTAGCACTGCTGCCTCACAGTGCCAGGCACCCGGGTTCGATTCCACCCTCGGGTGACTGTCTGTGTGGAATTTGCACACTTTCCCCGTGTCTGAGTGGATTTCCTCCGGGTGCTCCGGTTTCCTCCCACAGCCCAAAGATGTGCAGGCTAGGTGGCTTGGCCACGCTAAATTGCCTGTAGTGTTCGGGAATGTGTAGATTAGGCGTGTTATAGGGGTGGGATGCTCCAAGGGTCGGTGTGGACTTGTTGGGCCGAAGGGCCTGCATCCACACTGTAGGAATTCTATGATGATGATGATATCAGTCCCGGTCCTGCCCAGGTGTAACCCATCCAGTTTGCACAGGTCCCACCTCCCCAAGAACAAGTCCCAATGCCCCACAAATCTCCCCCTCACACCACCTTTTCAGCCACATGTCAATCCCATATATTCTGCTGTTTCTACTCGGACTAGCTCGTGGCACTGGTAGTAATCCTGATATAACTATCTTTGAGGTCCCACATTTCAACTTCCTCCCTAGTTCTCTATATTCTGCTTTTAGGACCTCATCCCTTCTTTTTTTTACCTATGTCGTTAGTGCCAACGCGTTCTATGGCCACTGGTTTCCATTCTGAGGAAGGGTCACCGGACCCGATACATTAACTCAGATTTTTTTCATCACAGATGCTGCCAGACCTGCTGAGCTTTTCCAGCAACTTCTGGTTTTGTTCCCGATTTACAGCATCTGCTGTTCTTTCAGTTTTTATTTAGTATTTAACTCACTGCCACATCTCTTCTAGGCATGCCCATCTTGAAGAAGTTCTGTTCCTCCAGCTTCATGTTGTCTGAAAACTTGGAGATATTACATTTAGTTCCCTTATCTAAATCATTATTGTGAATAGCTAGGGTCAAGCACTGATCCCTGCGGTACCCCACTGGTCAGTGGCTGCCACTCAGAAAATGACCCATTTATTCCTACTCTTAGTTTTGTCCCTGCCATCCATGTCAGTACACCACCCTCAATCCCATGCCCTTTCATGTTTTAGGTAATCTCTTACGTGGGACCTATTGAATACTTTCTGAAAGTCTAAGTAAACCTCATCCACTGGTTCCCCCTTATCAATTCAGCTGGTTACATCCTCAAAAAATCCAATGGATTTGACAATCACGATTTCACTTTCTGTCCACTTCTGGCGCAGTCTTCCAAATGCTCTGCTTGTAAATGGACTCCAGCATTTTCCTTATTACTGATGTCAGGACGACTGGACTATAATTCTGTTTTCTCTCTACCACCTTTTTTAAATAGTGGGGTTGCAGTAGCTACCCTCCAACCCATAGGATCTGTTCCTGGGCCTATAGAATCTTGGAGAATGACCACTGATGCATCCACTATTTCTAGGTCCACTTCCTTAAGTATTCTGGAACGTATATTTTCAGGTCCTGGGGATTTATCAACCTTTAAGCCATCAGTTTCCCCAAAACTATTTTCCATAAAAACAACATTTCCCTCAGTTCCTCTGTCCCACCAGATTGTGTGTTATCTAACATTTTTGGGGCATTATTTGTGTCCACCTTAATGAAGATAGAACCAAAGTATGATTTTAATTGAACAATTATCTCTTTGTTCCCATTATAACTTATCTGTTTCTGATTGTAAGGGATCTAAAATTGTCTCTTGTGAATCCTTTTTTTCTTCACATAACCCGTAGAAGTTTTTACAGTCGGGTTATATGTTCCCACAATCTTATTCCCACACTCTATTTTCCTCTCTTAATCTTTGCCCTCCTTTGTGGAAATCTAAACTGTTTCCAATCCTCAGGTCTGTGGCTCTTTTTGGCCAAATTAATGCCCTTTCTTTGGATCTAACACTATCCCTAATTTCCCTAGATTGGGCTACCTTTCTTATTTTATTTTTGTACCAGACATGAATGAACAATTGTTGGTCTTGCTCCATGCTCTGTTTAAATGTTTGCCATTGCCTATCCACAGTCATGCTTTACGTGAGACTTCCCAAGTTATCATAGCCAGCTCATACCTCATACCACCATAGGTTCCTCTATTTAGATTCAGATCAGATTCAGGCATAGCCAAAATTCTTTCTTCTCAATGTGAAACATACAGTATAAGTGGCTTCCGGGGCAAAGCAGATCGCTGAGGCAAGGAACCTTCAGTACAATGGAAGTTTAACGTCAAAATTACCTGCTGCCATCACTAGTCACCATGACTCGGATTGCCAGGAGGTTATCGGGTGATTTTTGAGGCGAGTGTCTCTCCGTGGTGGGGAGTGTTTCACACAGATCGAAGTCTCCAGGTGCACATTTAGTTCTTTCACAGTCAACAGACCCAGACTGGAGTGGATAAACTGCTGGAGCAACGACAAGGAAATACAGTCATCAATAACTCTCTGAGATAGTAGGAACTGCAGATGCTGGAGAATCCGAGACAACAAGGTGCAGGGCTGGATGAACACAGCAG